AACATCTGATTAGGTTTAATAGGGAGCATAAGGACCACAACAGTTAAATGATATGTGTCAAGTCAGAAAGATAGCCAGAAAAGTCACTCTTTTCTTACAAACGATATAGAAAAGCATTCCTGAGGGGCAGAGGTCATGGTGTTTTATTTATCTTTGTCTATCTCACAGGGCCTTGAAGAATGTTTTGTCCATAGTCACCACCACCACCCGTTGCCATAGAGTCGATTCCAACTCATAGTGACCCTATAGGACAGAGTAGAACTGCCCCATAGAGTTTCCAAGGAGCAGCTGGTGGATTTGAACTGCTGACCTCTGGGTTGGCAACTGAGCTTTTAACCACTGTACCACCAGGGCTCCATTCGTCCGTAGTAGGAGGGTTAAAAGATGGTCATTAAACTAAATAAAGTAGAGAACTTACTTTTCTTCTCCTAAGGCACAGAATCTTCCAAACTCCTTTGGAATTCAGGTCAGTTCCCCTCATGTGCATACAGACTATTCTGCTTTATGTGGCCTATTTAAAGAGGGTAATGGTGGGTCTGTGGCAGAATTCTCAACTTCCGTGTGGGAACCTGGGTTTGATTCCCAGCCAGCGCACCTCAAGTGCAGCCACCACTTGCCTGTCAGTGGAGGCTTATGTGTTGCTATGATGCTAAACAGGTTTCAGCGGAGTTTCCAGAGTAGGGGAAAAAAAAACAAAACTTGGCAATATACTTTTGAAAATCAGGACCCTATAGGTTACAATCATGGGGATAGTGCAGGACCAGAAAGCATTTTGTTCCCTTGTGCATGAGTTGTGGGGGGAGAGAGGGGTAGCCATGAGTTGACTCAAAGGCACCTAACAACAACAAGCCTGTTAAAAACAATAGAGATTAAAAGTTCTCAGGACACCCTGAAACATTTAATCAAGACTTGAGGCTCTTTTATAGGAACCTGGCTTAGTAGGTTTCAGGAGGAGAAGGCTGAATAGGGAGATAGGGAGTATCACTAATCACCACCACACCTCCAGCATAAGTCTAGCCCTGAGTCAATGTTGGGAAACCAGCAATCTTCACTTGTTTGCTGGGTTTGTCATGCAGATTCAAACGGCCCCTCCTCCACTAGGTAAGCGTTTTGGATCTGGCAGATTAGAAAGCAAGAGATGGAGTGGAGAGTGATGATCTCTGAACTGGAAAATGTCTGCATTCTCTTGATCTTTCTTTCTCAGCCTGTGCTTAAGCATTGTAAGGGGGAAAAAAAAAAAATTCTTCCACATACCTGGCTGGGTATTGGAAGCTGTTAAATAGTGGTTAAAACTGGGAGCATCAGAGGGAACTTTCCTCCCCCATTTTTAAAGTTTGGCTGTAGGTCATTCTGCCTACAGGCTACAGTCACATTAGCGGTTGGAAATTGGATAACGACAGCACAATGACAAATCCAGGTTGCTTGCAATAAGTTGCTAATCCCTTTGCTTTAATATCGGAGCAGCGTGTAATGATGTTTGGACATCACTCCAGTTTACTGACGACCCCACTGGGGCCAGCAATAGAACCTTACAACTGTGTAACAAGGCGTCAGGTGACTCCCGTCGTCACAGCAACGGACACTGGAATCTAATCTTCCCTCCATCCCTTCTAGCACCCAATAACGCCTAGATTATATAAGTGGCCCATCATTGCTTGGTAACTTGAATCAATTAACGTTAATTCGCACAATGCTATGATGTATTGTGATCACTTTCATTTCAGGGAAGGGGGAGAAATTGCTATAAGTCACCTAAAATGAGGTTGTCTGTGGTGCTGAGGTATTAATTGGGTGTCCATATTAAATGCAAAAGGAGCCCCATCGTGAAAGGAAAGTGGATGAGTGACTCTCTTGGCTGCTATTGACCTATCAGAAGAAGACAGTGCCCTTTTCCTTTGCTTTTATCTATTACGGTTTTCCCTATTGCGTGTCAAGTTGATGTATTATAAAAAATTCATTTGGTGACCTTTCACCCCCTTAGCAGATTAAACAATTTCACTTCGATGGCATCATTAACAGGACCCTGCATTTAATGATGATTTCTCTAAAAGGCCACGGAGATTCGATTTTAAGCTAACAGATTTATTGCACTATTATAACATATCGTAAAAAACTGTATCACCTACGGTCAGGTTTTAGGATAGAAACTGCTTAAGAGTTTATGTGGAGCTTAAAGTGGTATTACCTTGGGATATGCTGTAGCAGCAAGTCTCTGACCTCCAGTGAGATGCTGTTTACATTTAATAAGAGATGTTTGCTCACGATAAACTTTAAAGTGTGTCAGGGAAGGGCCTTTCCGTGGGTTTTCAGGCAGTTGGTTCCCATCCTCGGGTCACTAGACATCAATGTACTTATGTCAGACTCCCTGATAGGGTCTTTCAGTCTCTACCCAGACTGCTTGCCTGCATCTTTTCTCTGCATTGGAAAGCATTTAAGGAATAGGTTAAGGGAGAATTAGGACCTGGTAACAGTGTTCGAATTTTCCAATAACCTAGGACCCATAGAAGGATAGAATTAATAGCATGGATTTTAAAAATCTAAGTCAAATTGTTTCCTTAAAAAGGGAAAGGAGTCTTACCCACTTAGACTAAGCAAACTAATACATGATGATTGGTCCAGTGAATGTTGACTTTCCAGTGACTGGCTCCAGTGTAGAGGCCAGCGCCTTTATTGGCTGATGATCAAAGGGGCTCCGTAGGACCGTATGCCCCCACTCTGCCCACATTTCCCAGCATTCTCAAGGGAAGAGGGGAATCGCTTTCTACAGAAGCAACATATTTCTTAATCTCTTTGCTCTTCAGCTTTTTCCTATTTTTAGAATGATTCTTCACCTTTACCTGGCATGTGCCCTCCGTGATAAATAAATAGTTTTTCCTTTCTTCCTCACATAGGGAAAAAAAATTGGTCAGGGAATAGAGTAGCTGGCTCATAAACATTTAATTTGGTAGGCTACCTTTTTTAAAAAAAAAAAAAAAATTAAAGCCTTGTTAGACCTGGCCTAGGCTGTTTTGAGGATAAGTCACCAAGAGATGGTCTATATTAAGGTTTTTATATATATATATATATAAATATATCTCTATTTAATTGTCAAATATCTATTGTGTGCCTACAATGCAATAAGCTTAATAGATTAATGGTGTATTGCGGGGATATGTGCCATTAAAATATGGATGTATAAAGGCCTCTGTGCTGCACAACATGTTAAGACTTGTCCCCAACATGTTGAGACTTGTCACGACTTGTTTTTCCAAACCGGTTACTGATTGGCTTGTTTACCTGAATTCCTCCTCCTTTGCCCGAAACTTATTGTTATTCACCCAAAGCCCATTGTTCTGTTATTTACTTCACTGTTTGCTGTATTGACTATAAAATAAACTCCTGGGACTGAAGCTGGGTTCGACACCTCAGAGTGACCCTCCTGGCCCCACTTCTCTGTAAGAGTTGTGGCATTGGTTATTGTCTCCACCGCCCCGACAACCGTCGCCGCTGCGACAGTGTATAATGTTCTTTTTAAAATATTTTATTTATTTTTGTGACAATATACACAACCAAACATATATTCCATTCACAATTTCTATATGAAGAGTTCAATGACATTGGCTACATACATCACGTTGTGCCACCATTCTCATTATCTCTACCCATATTGTTTCATTACCATTAACTGAGGCTCTCAGCCCCTTAAAGTTCTCATCTGTGCTTTAGATTAATTGTTGTTGGTTTAAACTCATATAGATAATTCTTTATAAAAGCATAGTGCTCAAAGCAAACATTCTTTATTAATGGGGCTAAACTGTTGTTAAGTTTAATGATGGCTTCATGGGATAGTTTTGGTTCAAGGTTTAAAGATTTTTTCCAGGCATTAGATTTGGGGGTTCCCCCAGTCTCGATGGGTCTGGTAAGTCTGGTTTCCGTATGAGTTTGTAAGTATAATGTTCTTTTAATACAGTTAGTTGGTCATAAAAAACACCAAAACCAAAACTCTGAGTAAAAGATGTATGTAGGTATCATGGATTCATTGTCTTTTGTTTTATTTTATATTTATTCCATTTTATTGCTAAATCACATCAGCAAATAATATGCTTGAAGAGGGGAGAAGCAATATAGCTCATTCATTCATTGACTGCTTTAGCCCTTGGTCATATACTTACTAGTTGTAAGGCTTTTGGCAAGTTACTTCAAACTTTTTGGATCTCAGTTTTTTCATACATAAAATAGGATTGTAAAAGTACTTACCTCATAGTTTCATTTTAAAGATGCGATGAAGTAATATATGAAAATCTGAGAGTAGTACCTGGCATACTGTAAGTGCTCACTAAATGTTATTTGTAAGTATTATTTTACCCAGGGGCTTCATTCAATTAAAATAATTTAATCAATTAATTCCACAGTTGCTGAACCTACTTAATGCAAGGCACATTGTGGAGAATATAAATATAAACCATATTTGTGAGGATTAAGTGAGCTACTACACATAAAGCAGTGATATGCTAGAGCTGGTTCACAAGCATTTTTTCCCAGCTGTGTTTAGTGACTTCATGTTGTTACCTTGGAGTTGGCTATGGTGGAATATTTACACCACAGAAATTGGAAAACATTACAAAGCAGAGTCTTTTTCTTTTTCTTTTTCTTTTTTGAGAACTGGTTTACCAGCATACTATTGAACATGTCCCTGCTTTTTAAGTATTTTAGTCTGATAAGTTCCCTCATTGAGACTTTTATTGGCTGATCATAATAAACAGTGATAAAATCTAAATTCATGATTTATGCTTCTCTCAACACAGCCCCAGTCCATCCTTTATTATGGCTAAGCAAATCCATGAAAATAAATATACAATTATTATTCTTTGGTATACATTCACTGCACAATATAGTATTAAATTCCTAGAAACACCGGCAAATGCAAATATTATCACTGATAATAATGTATTCTGGAAAATAACCACTTCAGTGATATTTACAATCTCTGAATGTATTCTATTTATTTTTACATGTGCCAGAAATACAAGCAGTGTCAAACCTGGGAACTTGATATATATTCGGCCCCATACTCTTTCAGTCCTAGTCCAGCCTTCAGATGGAGAAGTGGGAAAAGAGCTTCCCATACAACCACAGCTTGTTTTTCTGGATGAGCAGGTAACTTTTTCACAGATAACAATCTTTGTATAGCGCTGGGAAG